CTGAGTGTACTGTTATTTTACCTGTTTTTGACATGTCATAGTTTCTGAGTAACGTGAGTCTCACTATCCGGTCCTGTAGGGGTAGATCAGTGAGTCTCTTTTCAGTGTGTAAGACTACATCTAAGTTTTATGTTTTCTGGTAAACTCCCTTAGACGACTTGCGTAATACCGACCTTTGTGGGACTATACTCTTTTAAATCTACTATTATCTTTGGTTTTGTGGAGGTATGAGCTATCTGGTAGAGTGACGTTCACTATTGCCGTGTGGGACTTGGTTCTGATCTAGTGAGTCTTTTTTAGTGCCTCGTAAGGCTACATGTCAAAGTTGCGTTATTTTTCTGCCGAAAGTTCCGAGTATCTACGTCGATGTCAGACCTCTTTTAAAATCTCCTTATTTTGTCTGTTGACAGTTGATAGTATAGTAGAGTAGTCCACTATCTGTCCTGTAGGGTTGATGAGTGGTCTATTTTGTTGTAAGACGTACTATCTCAAATTTTTATTTTCTGGCATACTTCACAGATATATACTCATAGTAGGGACAAAATCTACTATTTCGGTTTTGACAGGTCATGTAGTATCTTGGTAGAGTGATGTCGCGAACCGTTATCGTCCTGTGGTGTATCTTAGTTAGTCTTCTTTATCCTGTAAGACTTACGTATGTCGTTTTATTTTCTTGAATAGTGCTATAAGTTACCGGAGTCTGTCTTAGGATGACTCTGTGTCTTCTGTTTCTGGTTCGATCAGCGTTCTCATACGATTTTGATTGACGCTAGTTCGTCGGAGGTGAGCTTTGGTCAGGTTGGTGGGATGTATACTTACTCGCTTATAGGATCACTATTAAATCTCATGTTTTTTTTGAGTAGTGCAGTCGTACAGTCTGGCTAGAAGTGTCAGTCCGATGTACTTCGTCGGTTACCGTATAATGTCACATTAGGCGACGGTCCACCTATATTGAGTCTAGACTGGACGTGATTTTTAACCTTGAGAATAAGGTTTCACTATCTTCACTTAGATAATGTCTTTTCAGGACGTAAGTTTTCTATGGGTTTCATTTTCCTCTTTTCGTTTATAGTATTTTTGTATTGAGTTTCATGCTGTGTAACGTTTGTCCTATCACTGACGAGTCTAGACTCAGGTTACAAAGTTCTTCATGGGTTATATGCATATACAATGATATTACTAACTAGTACTTCACAGTAGAGTTTTCGTCGTGTTGTCCGAATGCATACTTTCGGTACTGTCAAATTTTGCATGTGACGTCTATCGAACTCCTTAATATATCGAGGCTCCAGCTTGTATTCAGACTAATTGTGACCTTCTATGAAGTGCGTAATTAGGTGTAGGTTTTTCATTGCATGTTCATAGTGTGTGTACATCACTTCGATCTTCATGTGGTAGTGGAGACTTAACACGGTCTTCATCTTATGTTTCATACCTTTCCTTGCTAATACTCCTTCTACTGTTCATTCTATGTTAATCATAGGATTGTTATTTCATGAAATCATCACTGAAACCTCATTTATGTAATCAATGAGAGTCTAGCATTATACAAGAAGTTATTGTAGCGCATCCTTCTTCTTTTTTAGTCTCATTTAGTTTCAGAGACTGTTCTATGATTTACCTTNTTTCAGCAGACGGAAGCATGTAGTGCTCTAAAATCTCTTGGTACACAGCTGCATTTACTCTGGGCTTGATGAAACACAGTGGACCAACACCAGCAGCTGACATGGCTCCCCAAACCATCGCTGACTGTGGGAACTTCACACTGGATTTCAAGCAACTTGGATTTTGCTCCTCTCCAGCCTTTCCCCAGACTCTGGCGCCTTGACTTCCAAATGAAATACAAAACTTGCTTTCGTCTGAAAAGAGGACTTTGGACCACTGTGCAACTGTCCAGTGCTTCTTTTCCTTAGCCCAAGTCAGACGCCTCTTCCGTTGTCTTGAGTTCAGAAGTGGCTTGACCATGGGAATACGGCTATTGTAGCCCATTTCCCGGACACGTCTGTGAACAGTGACTTTTGATACCTGGACTCCAGCTTCAGTCCACTGTCTTTGAAGCTCCTCCAAATTCTGGAAGCGACTCTTCCTCACAATGCTGTTAAGGCTGCGGTCATCTCTCTTGGTTGTGCAGCGTTTCCTGCCACATTTCCCCCTTCCAACAGACTTTTTGTGGATGTGCTTTGAAACTGCACTCTGTGAACAGCTTGCTCTTTGAGAAATTTCTTTTTGTGTCTTACCCTCCTGATGGAGGGTGTCAATGACGGTCCTCTGGACAGCAGTCAGATCAGCAGTCTTCCCCATACTTGTGATTTAGTTTACTGAACCAAGCTGAGTGTTTTTCAAGGCTCAGGAAACCCTTGCAGGTGTTTCGAGTTAATTAGACGATTCAAGTGATTCGTTGAACACCCTACTAGTATACTTTTTCATGATATTCTAATATTTAGAGATAGGATATTTGAGTTTTCTTAAGCTGTATGCCATAATCAGCAATATTAAAATAATAAAAGGCTTGCAATATTTCAGTTGATTTGTAATGAATCCAGAATGTATGACATTTTTGTTTTTTTAATTGCATTACAGAAAATAAAGAACTTTATCACAATATTCTACTTTTCTGAGACAGTCCTGTACTCATATATATTTATATAGTCTTAAAGTTACAACCATTATGATAATGTGGGCCACGATGAAATTGAGTTTGACACCCTTGGTCTAGTGTCTCAAAAAATGACTGATGATATCTAGAAATAATGACTTACTATTGAAAGAATTAAAACGTTCTAATAATATTGACTATTTTGCGGTATCAAGTGATTATTTCAATGAATGATCTAATTATCCCTGCTGTCGTGTTCGTTTCTCCCCCTTTGGTGTTCCCGGTCAGATTTGACCGTACAAAAAACATTAATCATCACCAATTTTGATTGAACCCCCTTTTAATCTTTAAACAATGTCTCAGACTACTGGTTTAAGTGAATAAGTCCAGAAACAATGCAAAGAATAGAAACTGAAAATGAATTCCAAAATGAACATTTAGTCCATTGTGGGTGTGTACTATCTGAAGGATAAACATAATCTAGGGTTACCCATTCATTTTCTATGGCAATCATTTTTGAACAGGAACATCATAGGTGTTAAAAAGTGAACTAAACCACTCAAAATTCAATGAAAGTGGTGATCAGCAATTTGATACGTTGAAATGCCTTCTGCGGAGGCCTTAAACACATAATTTATGATTGATTAAAGTAGTAAATCGGTCACATTTGACCCGAACATGACAGCAGGGCTAAACATGACTCAGAATGGTTTTTTTACATCACATTGGCAGAAATGGGCTTCCATAGATTCCAAAATTGGTGAAGGTGAATATTATCTAAAGACATTAATATTCATACTAATAATAAAATAAAATCTGACTACATTGAAAAAGGGAGGATGACTTACTTTTGCCTAAAGCCTTTCAGAAGCTTCAATCCATTCAATGAGATAGTGATTAGATCAGTGAGTAGAATTAAACAAAAAGTGAATAAAAAGGATGAATCTGCATCACGCAACATGACTCTCTTCATGTAGGGACATCAGAAAATGGATGGATGTGGAACTTATAAGGTCCACTGACATACAGGATACATTAAGTCAATGCAGAACAAATAACAAGTGGGAAGTGAGGGTGGAACATATTTTTTTAATGAAATAAGCAGAGCAGGTGATGCAGAGTTCAGCACCTGCAGGCTTTGTTAAAGAGGAAAGGCCTTCGGGAGTTTCTACCTCCAGAATTCATGAGGTTAAAACGCCCTCAGCAAAAGATGTCCAACACACCAGTCGAGAGGCACAAAGAGACACCCACATTCTCCCAGTCTGAATACTCAAGCTGTTGGTTAGGGCTGATCTGACATGATGTTTTCACTTTCGCTTCTATAAAATGTATATGTTGTGTGTGTTTGTAAGTCCCAGGTCTTCTATACAAAGACTCTATTGAGAGTGAAGGTTCTTTTTTGTAACTAGGTGTACTTTGACAGCGGTTTAAAGGCGCCCTATTATGCTTATTGCCCTAAATGCTAATGTTTGTATTGTGTGTCTCTACTGTGACATGACAACATGCTTCAATCTTCAAAAAGCTCTTTATTTGTGTCATACTGCCTGTGCTGCAGCACCTCTTTTCACCCTCTGTCTGAAACCAGAGCCCAGTCTGCTCTGATTGGTTAGCTGGCTGGCTCTGTTGTGATTGGTCAACTGCTTAGAGATGTCCCGCCCTTCAGCCTATCATGTACAATTCGTAAGAGTGCTAGCCAATAGCAGCATAGGTGTTACATAGTGATGCCACTATGTTAGGCAAGTAAACAAAGGTGTCCAATGGAGGCATTTTTAAGGCAGGGGGAGAAAACTCCCTCTGGAAGGAACTTTGGGATTGTAGCCTTTGCAGACCATTAGCATGCACACAAACCTATATTACAGACTACAGGAAAGGGGAAACCCAAGAAGTATAATAGGGCCTATAATTCACATATTACGGCATAAACATTATATAATAAAGTGTGTGGGATAAAGTTATCAAACACTATCAATATCTTTGGGCAAGTACATATAATAACATTATCATTTTGGCACAAGAAAGTTGCTGTGCAGTGATCTGATGCCACAATTAGCAGACAGCAGAGACAGAGGATCTGTGAGATGAAAGGTTAGAAACATAAGATAATAAAACATTCTGTGCATTCGCTACTAATCTTTTAAATATAATTCATCGCGATGAGTCTGACATGTTCCCCATGTAATGAAATGCAGTAGGCTGCCTCCAGCGGTGCCGGGGGCAGCGTGCAATAACCGTACCTGGTTGTGTTATACAGTGGCTCTCTGCTTTGCTTCAGTTCAATCCAGGTACTTAAAGAGTCCCTTAATTTAAGGGTAACTTTTGCTGTCTCTTTAACACTTTGCAGCTGGATAGTAACAGGAGTGACACTAACGGTGACAAACTAACGTGTGTTTTCATCCCTCGACAGCTTTTGGCAGCAGTTAAGTCTGAGAAAGGCGTGAGCACAGCAATGGACTTATGCTGTTACCATGGCAACAAGGCTCTGGAGGCCATACAGGCTTTCCCCTCCTCCGAGGCTCGATCCGCCTTGGAGAACATCGCCTCTGCCATCACCAAATTCTGACCTGTGCTCACACACACGTACACACAGGGTGTCTTTGTCCGCAACAGGATGAGGAGCACTGAACTGTTGACACTTACGAAACAAATCAACTTATTTTGTGCCAGGTGCTGACTGCTGGAGAAACGGTTCTGCTCCGCCGGGGATGACAGTGTGCATCAGAAATGCAATGGCTGTATCCATAAATGGTCATCATTAAAAACAAGGAATAAAAACACATTACTTCAGCATCATGTCATGCATTGTGTCGGCTCCAACACGTACCCTTCCTCTCCGGGTGGAGAAAATCTCACGCCAAGCTGCATTAAAAACCTGGCAGTTTATTACCACCTGGCTTATCAGCTAAGGCACATACCAGGCAGAACGTAATGTAAGATGTTTTGAAGTATTGTTATTGTCATCTGGAAAATGTGCCATGAACGGCAGCTGATCACTTCACCCAGGTTCACCCGCTCATTACTGTACACCTCAGATGATGCTGAAATCATAGCTGCTGGATGTAGTGGGTGTGTGCCAAATTGAAGAAAAGCTTGAATCCAGAAATGTCTCAAAGTCATGTTCTAGCAGGTTTTATTTTTTTTTAAAGTCGTTTTGCGTGATGTTCTCTTCACAGAGGGGGAAAGGGCATGAATCAGGAGTAATGTCACCTATGTTGCCTTATTATGTCTGTCCCCACGCCTGTGTATGTGATCCAAGTGGACCCAGGGGCGGGGAAAGGTCACACAGTCTCTCCCCTTGGCCCAGCCAGCGAGCGCATTGAAGCTCCGCCAAGCAGTAATTATTAATGAAGAGACCTGAGCAAATGGACAGGAAATGCAGAGGTATTGATTGGGCCGGCTGCCCTGCTCCAAGCCGTACAGGCTGGCGCCAGCCTGGTGGCCTGTGGTTTCCCAGGCTGCTGTCTGCAGAGGGAGGGGAGGGGGGGTGCAGTCAAGGTGTGAAACCAGGCCACTGTGGCAGCTGTCTGTCACATCCAGGCCACACCTGAAGGACGGAGCAACAGAGACGGGACGAGAGGAGATCTAGGACTAAGGGAACATACCTAACACAAAGAGTTCTGTGTAGTTCAGCAGATAATGTTGGAACAACCACATGTGTTTGATTTTGAATTTGGATAGCAAGAATCATGAGAATCAAAAAGAGACAACTCAAAAGGAGTTTAATTTGAGAAGCTGATTAAGGATTTAACCATGCTAGCAATTTGTTCCTAGGCAGTGTACATTCACTACTTTGGTCGAGACTAACCTACGTATCACAGTATTAGAGGGAGTGTTATGACATTCACATTCCCTAAAGGATGAATCTTCCTAACTTTGGTTTAGCAGCCCTTTGAATTTAGCAATCATTAGCAAACGTTAGTATCAGGGACGTGCACAGACATTTGGAGGGGCTATTGCTCTAAACTGGAAAAAGGGCCTCCCCCCGATAAAAAACACAAGACTTTTTGAAAATTGTAACTTGTTTTTAGTGTAAAAGAAAAAAAACTATTATTACATCAACTAAATTGAACAGTAATTCACATCTCATAACAAAATAAGCTAAGGCGACTACTTGCATTCGATAACTTGATTTAAAAAATGAAAACCAGGGACATTTTTGGTTTTCCGGTCCATATCTCATCAAAAATATCTAATGTTAGTAACTATTAAAGACAAAATTGGGACAATTATGTTCTAATGTGACCATTGTAACTGCTGTGCAGTCCAGACACGCTACTGATAAAATAGGGCCTCTAACTAATTACCTTAAATAAACTCACTAATTAATGAAACCAGTTCAATTCGCATTATTATTATTCTTATCATTCTTTATGAGTACAGTGACGGCAAGGTATCTAATTACTTATTTATTTAGTATTCCATAACTTAATAACAGAGATGGTCAAACTAAAGTAGAGACATGGCAGAATTCCTACAATGAAGCGGGACATTGAACTGTTCACCCGTGAGAGGGCGATCAAGAAAAGAGAGCGAGCGGCCCCATTGAGGGAGTTTACAGATGAAAAGACACAGAAAGACAGAAGCTAAATAAGAACAAGTGGTGTTTTTTTGTAAATAACCGACGGTAACAAGAGTAAGTAAAGTCCCCTGGTTTGTCCCTTATACCCTAACTGCCATGAGACAACTCAAAATCAAGTTTCCAAAATCCGACACTGAGGTGGTCTTAACGCACCGGCAGATGACAGCGCTGACAAAGTGTGTTTCCCGCAGCGAGACGCTACAATACTAATTGTGGGCTTATGTTGATTCGGCCACAACAAAAAAAAGAAAAACAAACTCTCGCTCTCTCCAGAGGGGCAGGTCAGCCAAAAAGGCCAAACGGGCCGTTGCCCGGGCTACATTAGCTCGTACCTGTGCACGTCCCTGGTTAGCATGCTAAATGATGTTGGCGTTTCCACAAATTGCAGCTTGTCTGTACGTTCTTAGTCTTGTACATTGAATGTATTTGCAAAGAAAAACTATAACACAACTTTTCAAGTGCCTTTAAGTTGCACCAATATAGCACATTTTAGTTTTGTCATTTATTAAAAATGCTACACGAATTACGTTTTTTGCGGTGGTCAGAAAGTATGCATCGCACAAGTTCCCTTAACGAAAAGCAAATGGTATTTTTCCTATTCTTCCAATTTAAAAAAATAATAATACTCACAAATAAAACCACTTTTATGACTTTTAAGCGTAGAGGAAAACGCCAGAAGTACCAGCTAACTCTAAGCTATAAACAAACACACCAAGGTCACGCTTAGTCGTATTTATTTTGTTAGCAAACCGCCTTGTTAAAGCTATTTTATGCTTCAACATTAATGAGTTGTGTATTTGCGGAAATATTTTATGTCATAGAAAATAATTGTAAATCTCTTCAAATCGTGTTAACACAGGCCCCTTATTTCACGCAGCAAACCATAAACAAGTGATTTTGAGACTAGTTCATGCCAAAAGGCTAACACATTTCTGGGTTCAGGACTCATTACTGCAGCGCTCAATGGTTCATGTCAAATGTTGTTAAATAAAAACAAAACATTTAAAGATTAGATTCTGCTATTTCCTGCATACTATAGCCTACCTATTTTACAAGTGTCTAGTTTATATGGTAGTCTCAATCATCCAATCAAATAGTGATACCTCAATTAGTTAAAAGGTTTAAGACATTTGGCCCAGCATCAGTGTTTGAGCGTGGATGTGGAAAACACATAGGGTTGGAAAAGGGGGAAGGGGAGATGATGAGGAGTGAACTATTTCAAAAACAAGCCCCTGTCTGTTGTTGGGTTGTTTGTCCACTTCCTCTTCTGTTTGGGTTTCCGCTGCTTTGGCTTCCTGGGTACAGCGAGGTAAGGCCTGTGCCAGATACGCCTCCGGCTCTTCATGAAATATTTATCCTTGCCGCGAGGAGACATGAGGAAAGTTACATGGAAAGTTAAAAGGCCCAAACAAGGAAGGAGGCTGGGGCTCTGCCAGAATAACAAATATAGTTCCTAAACAGAACTTTTTATAAGACGCGAGGTCTGGCCTTAGCAATGAAACTGTTGCAAAGGCGGTCCCTGTAGAAATCAACCAGGCAGTGCAGAAGACGATTTGATGGGATGAGTTTTTTTGTTTGTAACTCGAAAAGAAAGTAGTACTTCAAGCTAATGTTTAATGCAGAACAGAATGTGTAGCCTTTTTTCTTCCCAGACAGCATTCATCTTTTTGATAATTCTGCAGTCCGAATGAAGAGGGGAGCGGTTTGTCAGCTTTTATGACCTGCACAGCAGAAACCTGACACTGTGTTTGCTTACAGTTTGCAGTTTGAGAGTCTTGGGTGTCATGCAAGTAAGAGTTTGCAAGACTATAAGTTTACATGCACAACATGGTAACAGCGGCTCTAGTGTGCCCGGCCCAGACGATGAGTGGTGTAATTACAGCAGGGTCCAGTGGAGAGAGTTGGTCAGCACATATTCCTTTACATACATACACACACACACACACACACACACACACACACACACACACACACACACACACACACACACGTGCAAATACATGTGTCGATGCTGGGGTCAGAACCACTGTCATCTCAGGAGTTTGCCAGAAAGATAGTGTTTGTAAAACTTGCTAAGAAAATTATACTCAACGTTTCTTGTGTTGATATTCTGAACATGTTAAATATTACCGTATTTGACTGTTTTCACTGAGACGTTTATTCTTTCAGGGGGGGAAAGAAGGAATTAGCCTTTATATATTTGCGAATGCTACAGAGCTGAAACACAGAGTAGGAATTTCTTCAGTTTTGTGGAGAGGCTTTTTTTATGTGTTCTCCCTGTCAATGACATCCAGCTCAAGGTCTCATTGTCTCCTGTTTAATTTGTGCCTCAGAGTTCAGAGCCTTATGAGTTTGGAACTTTTCTTTAAGATGCTGATCCAGGCAGTATCTTCTGATGTACTGCTTGTTGAGGCAGTTTTTTTATTTCTGTTGGTGGTGACATTAATTAGCCTAACCACAATGGTGGTCTGATCATCTTTGCATAAAATGGCCACAGATACAAAAGGTCTGGGTTTCATATGTGATTATCTCTCAATTGATAAACCCTGTGATGGACTGATGCCCTTGCCAAGGTGTTTCCCAGCCTCCTTTTCTACTGCATGCTGGGATACATTCCCTGCAGCCTCTGTGACCCTGTTAGGAATAAGCCAGTATGTAAAATGACTGAGTGAATCTGAATGTGGAATGATATCAGAGCCTCCATTAGTCTTCCTGTGAATGGCCTATCAGTAAACACCTGCTAATATCATCATATATCTGACGGTGATGGATGAGAGTCATTCTGCTGCGATAGGAACAGTATGGCTGATTGGCCTCCCCGACTCAGACGAGCATATTGGCCAAAAATGACACTTTAACGAGCTTTTCCTGGGTGTTAAGTGCTGCGCGCCGGCCCCTCTTCGCAAGCCGACGCCTGGCTGACCCCGGGCCGTGCTTCCCCCCGCATAGGGCCGGCTCGCTCCATTGGCTGACAGATCAGACTGCCATGGAGACAGCTCATTAGTGGAATAATGAGAAGCACAGCAGCCACACGTCCTCTTGTTATATCATATCTTTATCGACATATTTGTGGTGGAGGACAGAACATTGGGTGCTAGTGGGTGCATGAAATGATTAAAATAGGATTATGGCATTGTTCATCTCTCACTCACTGAAATCTTTGTTCAACAGGGGAACAAATTCACCATCTTTGCTTATTGGCA